TAAATAGAGCAAAATGAATGTGTAAAAATGTGTGTATAAAATCAATGATATAGAATTTCTTAAGATGATTTAGTTACCTAATCTTTGCTTCAAGTTAGCTTCAAATTTTGATTTTAATTTTAATTTCTCTATAATTAATTGGGTTAAAAGTATCAAGAATTTCCTAAGTTGAATATCAAGTCACTTATCATTATTAGGTTCAGAAAACCTTTGTAAAACAATTCTTATTGAACAACCATAATATTTATGGATTCAAACTCGCGTCCACAAAAGCCTTATATATAGACATCTAAACTAACTAATGACAGACAAATATGGGTAATGGGCTTTTGTATATTAAATCCCAAACACACATAGATATGACTAGGGTCAATATTCCAGGCCAAATTTGATGGGCCAGCCTAAACTCGCCTAAAAATATTTGGATCGGATTTGACTGTATGAACTTTTTTAAAAGAGTAGGATATTCAAAGTCCGATTTGAATTGAGCTTGATTCGAATAAATTTGACCATTGAAATTTACAACTCCATAAGTGTATAAAGTTGTTAATTTTGGCCAACCCTGACAAGTCAGCCTAAACTCGTCAGAAAAAGTCAGGGCTAGGTTTTTCTATATGAACTTTTTTAAGAGGGTAGGATACTTCAAGCTCAATTCTAATAAGAACGGTTCAAATTAACTTGACCCACTCGAATTATTAGCTCTGGATATGACATAATACCTATGTGACTCGATCCCTTTCAAGTTGGGGTTGAACAAATTGAACTCAACTTGGCTAACATTTTTTTAAAAAATATCATCGCCGAGCGCTCTAATCAATATCTCTGCTTGTTGATTATGTGATCTCACATGTAAGAGGTTAATTAATTTCTATTGTAGCTTCTCACACACAAAATGGCTGTCAATCTTGATGTGCCTCTTGCATTAATGGAAGACAAGGTTGGATGCTATATGGATAGCAACCTTGTTATCACAGTAAATATTGGTAGGAGCTAATATGAACACCCAAATCAAACAAGAGACTTGTAATCCACATAACTTCTGCTATCACAATCACTAAGGCTTGATATTCTACCTTAGCCAATGATCGAAAACTAGTGTTATTTTCTTTGGTTTCTTCAGAACATCAAAAGTTAAATGCAAATTCTGCTTCATTGAAGTAGATATGGGCTGTGGCCCAGTCATTCACATACTTGCAAGTAAATCCAACATATATTTTCTTTGATTTAAAATTATGCCTCCATTAGATTTAGCTACTCCCAACCTTAAGAAGTTTCTCAAAACTCCTAAATATTTGATTTTAAAATTATTATGCAAGTGTCTCTTTATTTCATTTATTCCTTCTAAACTACTTCCTAAACACACACAGATATGATATAATACCCATATGACTTAATACTTATTAGCATGACAAGTGGAGCTCATGGGTGTGTCCATCTTTGAGAGAAGGAAGAAGTCTAGACACTCATGGAAAGCTTCATCAAGTCCAATGGCAGAGTAAGGATCTTGAGTCAGGAGGTGTGAAACAATTTAATAAAAAATTAATAGTTTTAAAATAATAATAATTATACTAGGACAAAAAATATAATAACATAAATAGTTTTAATTATCATCATTTTTTATTTTTAAAAAATATATTGAACAGATTAATATAATTTTTTATTGTAAATATGCTCTTCATATATTATCTAGATTATTAAAATATTATATATTGAATAAGCTTTTGAGCCTAAATATTTTACATTTAATTCAAAGGGTATAAAATATCAAGAATAGAGAGTGCAAAGTTATAAATTTTATATGCCTCACTTGTAATTTTTCTCAAAGTGAGAGGGTGCTCCACCACTAATCAAGTCTACATCTAAGCTCCAAATTCACAAAGACATGGTAGTAGCAGGAGAGGAATTTCACACAGCAGAATTTTGAGCAAATTAGAACAAGTTTCCTAAGGTTTTGATACAGACAAAGAGAGAAAGACAACGATGAGGCAATGGCTTTAAAAAAGCTCCGAGTATGGTATCTAACCATGGTAATACTAACATGGTTATTTTTATTGATTGTGAAATTTTGGCTAATTGTGTTGCAGAAAAGAAGGTAGATTTGTGTGAATGGAAGAGCTAGACGATTGTTGCTGATGTCTTGCACATGCTTGAAGGACTGAAGAATGTTTCAGTTTGATTAATTTGTTCCCAGAACATTGAACGGAACTATTGATTGGCAGCAGTAAATGCTTCAAATGTCATGTGTCCGTGGAATTGGATGGCAAACACCCCCATTCCCTCTTGCAAAGCTTTTGTTTGATGATGGCTTGAGAAGGAAGAATCTAGATGGAGGCTGTGATGTTAGGAGTGGCATTGGTTGACTGTATTCTAATATTGTTATGTTTTCTTGCTTGCTTCTGCTTTCCTTTTGACTTTATTGCTGGAGTTTTCTATTTTGTTTGTGTTTTGTGTTTGTTGAGAGATGCGTCCTAAACAACATCCAACTAAGCTCTTGAAAAGTTAGTTCTAAAAATGATGCTAAGCTGCACAATGGACAAAATTGCTAAGAGCCTAAGACCATTTTTGGCCAAGCAGAAACACTGTATGTTTGTGTGTAAGTGTCTTAAAGTGAAGTGAGGTGAGTGTCTGTCAAAGGATGTATGTGTGTATAATAAAATATTTATGAGAAGTTATTTAAATGCTTGAAAAATAAAACTAACAAAGAAAAGAGTTCATAAATCAAAATAAAACTAAATTATATGTATGCATAATGAATGATAATGCAACAAGTCGGAAATAAAATTTGAAAAAGAAATAAAAAGAAAAATTAGAAATTAATAAGCTTGTCCTTGGGCTCCTATTTCTATTTCACTTATATCTTGAATAATTGGATCATAAAAAATCTTATCCAAATGGCCAATTTTGAGCAGTCCAAATTAATCATTTCAAAATTAACATTACTTATACTTTTACACCAAAATTTCTCAAAATTACAAATTAAATCCAATAAATTCAAATGATACCCAAAATACTTAAAATACTCAAAACAAGCGTTAAAAATTAAAAATAAAAAGAATAAAAATAATGCAAATAATGTATTTTATTATTTCGACTCGGAAAAGCACGAATTTTTTTGGCTCCAACACCAACCCAAAATGAAATTTTGTAGTTTTTAAGAATTGAAATATATTTTCAAGCAAAGATAAATGCATAACAAGTAAAGTTCCTTATTTATTTAACTCATATTTACTTTGTCTAATGTTTTATGCCCCACACTTGTGGAACAAATACATGTAATTTCTGGTCAAGTAAGTAACAGGGAAAAAAAAAATCGACCACCTATCTATTTGTTTCTTTTATTTATTTATTTATTGTTTTGAAACTTTCTTGCGTGTTTCTTTATTAAGGTTTTTCGCCTGTATCTGCACCCACATTACGTGGCTTTTTCATTTTGTCGGACGTCCCCAAAGGGACATGGCCTTTTCGTTTTGGAAACCTTTAACTTCCTATTCCCGACCTCAATTCAATCAAAGGGAGCATATTTGTGAATTCAAAAATAATTGTTTTATTATTTCGATATCAGTAATTATTTAATTACTTTTTAACTAACATCTTTTGCAATAAATTAAGTAGACGTCCCAAAACTTGAACGTCACTTGCCCTTTTTTTTTGGGACCCCTAGCGTCACTTTCATGGGTATATTTTCAATATGAATGCATGGAGTTAATGTGTTGATCACAAAAAATGATACATTAATATCTCTTTAAGACACTAATTAATAAACATTAACAATGAATCAATGTATTCAATGAATATTTATAGAAAATACTATTACTCCCTCCATTTTATTTATAGAAGAAACTAATACTTTTAGTTTGTATTTTTATATAAATAAAATCATATTTTTTAATAGACATTTATTACAAACTTTTTAAATTACTCCTCATAATAAAATTATTTACAGTCATAAAAATAATTAATGAAGGTTTGATTAAAATAATTAATAAAGGGTATTATAGTCTAAATTTTTTATTTTTCATACATAATTAATATAGTTAACTGATTTTCTTAAATATAATTTTTTCTTTTACAAATAAAAACAGAGGGAGCACTTATTTGCAACAGCCAACACTCATAATTCAAAGAAAATCACTGTTAAAGTCATCAAATATTGATCTAATTAATAAAAGGATAAATTAGCTCACTAGTTGAAAAAAAAAATTATGCCTAAAAAATATCAATCAATATGGTTGATTTATATTGATATTCAAAAAATTTATCATTAATATATGAGATTTTTATTATTGAAAATTTGACAATTTACAAAGGGTTTCTCATTAATATACATGGATATATCATTAACAAATAAAATAAATTAATTATAATATAAAATATAATAAATATTAGACTATTTACTTAGTTTGATTTTACTATATAAGCTATATTTGCAAAAGGCTCTTAATAAAAACATAAGTCATATTCAATGAGGATGCGAATTCAAATTTCATTACTAATTTAAAAATTTGATTAATAGACAAACTTTGAGCATCTTTGTGAACAGTTTTTGCTCGTCAGAGTGGTTCCGCTTTATCGAAGGCTGTTAAACCAACTCGCTTAAATACATTTTCAAATAACAAGAAATTATTAAGATAAATTATAAATTAACTTTCACGATATATTCAAATTTTGTAAATTTTCTATTAAATTAAAATATATTCCAAATCAAGTATTTTGAAAGACAAGAGAACACCTTGATTATCATGAATTAAGAAAGTTAGTTAAATTAATTATTAAGTAATTATTATCAAAACATGTGAGAGATAAAATAACATGAAATTTTATACACGCATATATATATTTTGAACATGAAATTTTATATTGAAGATCACAATTCACAATGAAAAAAGCAGCTTCGGGCTGGGAAGTAAATGATAAAGCAAGCGACAAATAAAGGCCGAACCGGCTAATTTTGTTGAATATATGAGCCAACGAATCATATGGACCGAAAAGAGTGTGAACTTTCACCCTCCACACCTTATGAATTGAAACAGAAATCGGAGGCGTAAACTTTCAATTTATAAAAACCTCAGCGCTTGTCAACAGATGCAAGCCCCTCCCTCGCATAACGGTTCTCAGAATCCCATGCCTCCAAGCAATCCATTGAGATTAGTTCAAACCCAAGTCGCTGACATGTACTTTTCCTCCCTAGTTTTTTGCTCCCAAATCCCTTCCTATTAGGTCACATTTCAACCTCCTCTTAATCCCATTCTACATGTGATCCTTGATCCTTCCTCTTTTACTGGTGCAAGGTCCCCTTCTCTTCTCCTTCTTTTCAAACGCCGAATCACCCTCTCCATGACTTCCTCTGTTTTGCTTCTATTGGAATGAACTCCCGCTCATGGATTTATTCCTTCACTGCCTCCGCCATATTTCTGTTGCTAACCCTCTTCTTTCACTCTGACTATGGCCTTCCCCGCAGGGTTTTTGCACCGAAGGATGGTTCTTTTTTCTGGTTATTTTGGGGTCTTCCTCTCCTACCTCTCGCAAGCTCTGTTCTGGGTATTCGCCAGAATTTTCATGAGGTTTTTTTATTCAGTTTCCGCTTTACCAACGTGTTTCCATATTCATTAACTCTTCAATTAATCGGTTTTTCTGTTTTGTTTCTTTACGCTGGCAGATATTTCGGTCCTGGAGCGATTAATTCAGCTCGTTCTGCAACACTCTCCTATGACTCAAAATTTTCCGGGCCAGAATCAGATGCTGGAGTAGGGTATTCTTATTCTTCCAGAGATAAAGAGTCGAATTCTGAAAGCTTCGAGGATGGTACTGATGCTCTTCCAGAGGGAAGTGATTTGATCTATTCTAATGATTCCCGGCCAGAAACAGAGCCCGAAATAGGGTGTTCTGAAATTATGGACGACACCGAAAATGTCGGTATTGAAAAAGAGGACACGCCGAAACTGGTTTTCAAGTTCCAATATCAGAATTGGAAACCCATTGAAGAATTCAACGAAAGCAACGGTGACAACTTTCATCTTGTTAACAACCCGGATGCAGCATCTTCAAGCGCGAGCAAGTGTGAGTTCATCTCAGGCAAAAGTGCCCGCCATTTCTTGGAGGAACCCGAGGTTTCGATTCTCACTGTCAGGGAATTATTTGTTCAATCGAATGATGGGTCCTTGGAAAATAAAGAAATCCAGAATTTTGGGTTCCTTCCTGAGAGTGAAGGACGGGACGTCCTTGAACACAAGGCTGAGAAGCTCAAACCTAGGCCATATGTAAAAGCAATGGAACAGCCTGAATCTGGGAAAAATCAAGTGGAGAATCCACATATTTCTGCCATTGATGTTTTTTCAAATTTAGGCCGTGAATCAAATTCGAAGAGTTCAAATATTAATTCTTTGATCGATAGTCAATTATCGGACTCAGACTTGGGAACCACTGTTAAGCTTGACAAGTCAGGAAACCAAGACGATGAAAATGCTGGGTTAACAGAAGAAGATATGGTCTTAGAGGGGGATAGTTGGTCAGATAATTTAGATGTCGGGTACGAGCCGGATGATTTTGATGGAGAAGATAAAGACTTAATGGAAGAGCTTCAAAAATTAGAAGAAGAGGCTCAGGAACAGAAGCTGTCAGGTAATGACAAAGTCAGCTCCAAAGCCGAAGAATTTGGTGACAAAGAAAAACGGCCCATTGATTGTCCGATGGATTCTGCCAAACCCAATTTGCAGAGCTCAATAGGTTCGGATCTTGAGGACTCCAACAGGTTTGACACGCTCTGGGAGCATCAGGATTTGATAGAGCAGCTGAAGATGGAGCTGAAGAAGGTGAAAGCCACGGGCCTTCCGACCATCCTCGAGGATTCTGAGTTTCCGAGGATAGTGGAAGACCTGAAGCCATGGAAAATCGAGGAGAAATTCCAGCCTGGCACTAGTACGACCAACGAGGTTCCCAAATTCTACAAGAGTTACAGAGAACGCATGAGAAAATTCGATATCTTGAATTACCAAAAAATGTGCGCCATAGGTTAGTAATTTCTTGCCGTTATTTAATATTCTGATTTAATTTTCACTCTTCAGTGCTGAGTCTTCCTTTTTTGGGTTCTGGTTCTTCCCTGTTCTTTCTAAACACGCTTTTGATATTTCATACGAAATTTCTTCATGCTCTTTTGTCTTTATATATAAAATATTTTTAATTAAATTTTACATATCAATAAAAAATTATTATTTAATTAAACTCAAATAAAAATATAATAATTTTTTAATTTTATTCTTAATAATATCATAATTATTGTGATGATGGTAAAAAACATATAATTAATAGTCTATTTCACTTTTTAAGATAATAATAAAATTATTTAATTATTTAAAAATATTTTATCATTCCTTATATTTAGAAATAAAATAAATTTTTAAAAAATACTTTATATATATAAAAAGACAGAAGGAATGGAGCCTGTGCTTGATTAGTGAATGATCAATTCATTCATTAACGCCACACCCCTCATTTAAGTCATTAAAACTAGTATATTAGGTCAGGACCCACTATATCTGAGGTTGGTTGAACACTGGGAAAACATGAACTACCTAAATATACGTGGAAGTAAGTCACGGCTAGACTTTTCGTTTTCTTTTTCTTTCTGGGTAGACCCGGTATCAGCAATTTTTTTTAATCCTAGGCGGATGTATTTTTTTTTTGGTACAGCAATTAATTTGATGTATTTGGAAGTACAATCCCACCGTTCTCCGTATGAAAATAATCCCTTGAATTGGAGAGATAGTTTATCTACTTTTTATGCAGTCCGTTTTTATTTTGTTTGGCACTCCAGAAAAGATTGGTTGGATTGTAGTTTCAAACAATAAATGGTGGCCCTACTGCAGCAGATACGACTAGTCCCACCAATTATGAATATTAATAGTCTTCAATTGCACACGGATCTCCACATAAGTTCTAGGTCTTGTTTTTATGATCAAAATACCAAGTTTTATACAGAGACATTTATGTTCAGGAAAGTATGCCCACCGTCTTTCTTTATGTTTCTTTAAATGACCCCATGTAGAGTGAAGTATTTGTACCTAACCAGAAAGTTTCTATTTCTTATGTTTTCTGCGTCATATCGTTTGGACCCTTCTCAAAAAGAAAATCAGTCCCTACTACAATGATCTAGCACTGATGTTAATGCTCCACCCAATCGTTCTATGACCTTATAATCTTTTCTTACCGAGCAAGACACTTTGACATGGCATTTTTTGTTTGTAAATTCTAAGTGGCCTTCGCATTTTGCTTAGTGATTAAGAATTCAAAACGACAAAGCATGGCGCTAAAGTTTCAAATTTGTTTTGTAGATTTTTTGCAGTCAAAGGAGCCAATACAATCATTTTCAAGCCGCATGACATCTACAGCAACGATCATGTCCCAACTTTCACAGAGCTTTCACCTTTCCAGACGCAAAAAATCTGAGACAGACCCCACGAAGAAGTTCGTCAGAGAGCTGTACAGTGATCTGGAAACGATTTATGTGGGTCAGCTCAGCCTGTCCTGGGAATTCCTTCAATGGGAATACGAGAAGGCCCTGGAGCTATGGGATTCTGACCAGTACGGCACACGAAGGTTCAATGAGGTGGCCGGCGAATTTCAGCAATTTCAAGTTTTGCTTCAAAGATTTATAGAGAACGAGCCTTTCCAAGGCCCACGAGTTGAGAATTACGTCAGAAATCGTCGCGCCATGAAGAATCTTCTTCAAGTTCCTGTAATAAGAGGTGAGCAACTTCGGAAGTCTACTGTAAAGTGCTTGTGTCTTTATTCTAATTGAAATTGGAATTTAGTGCTCAACTGGGGCAACCCCACCGACACCGATCGATGGCGTCCTTCTGAGCTTGAGCAATGTGGGGGACTACAAAATTCCACATATAAGACAGACATTTACTAATAATAGAGCCATTACTTGCGTGTAGAGGACAACACAAAGGATAAGAAGAAAACGAGAAAAAGAGATTCAGATAACGATGCCATCACAAGTGACATGTTAGTGGAAATCCTAGAGGAATCAATTAGAACGATTTGGCGTTTCATTAGGGCGGATAAAGATGCATGTAACCTGACACTCAAAGGTGTAAAAGAGAATCAGACAGAGCTCCAAGACCCTGCAGATTCAGAGCTTCTAGCACAAGTCCGAGCAGGGCTTCAGAAGGTAATTTGGGTTTATTACTATTGTTTTTTTTTTTTAATTTAGTTTTTTCTCGCGTTGTCGATGATGTGGCTCATTGCTATGGTGTTGCAGAAGGAGAAGAGGCTGAGAGAGATATTGAGGAGCGGAAGCTGCATATTGAAGAAATTCCAAAAGCGGAAAGAGGAAGGGACGGATCAGTACTTATACTTCTTCTCCCAAGTGGATATGAAATTAGTGTGGAGAGTGTTGAACATGTCGAGGATAACGACGGATCAACTAGCGTGGTGTAGCAATAAACTAAACAAGATTAATTTTGTACATCGAACATTACATGTAGAACCGACATTCTTACTTTTCCCATCTTAACCTTAATTCCTAGCTTTCTTTATGATGCTCCTCCCTCCCATTTTTTAGAAGCTCCTTCTGGGAATGCCCACTTTCTCATCTTCTCCTCGACAATTAGACTAAGCCAGTACTCTGTACATTGTGGCCCTGTAGTGACTAATCACAGATGTCTTTGGAGCTGAGCATTTACTCTGTACATGTACTTTTTCCTCTTTTAAGATTTCATAATAAAATTAGCATTTCATTTTTTTAATAGAATAAGAAATTTAAAATAAAAATCAAAAGCAAAAGCTTGCCGGACATAGTACGTAGAGGTGATTTGATTTGATTGGGCTTGCCGGGCATAATACACCGCTAAGCCCTATTATATGAAAAAATAATGAATAATAGAATAATATTAAAAAAATATATACGGTTCTAAAATTTCATTACGATTTCTTGATCCTTAACTAAAATTAAATTTTTTATGTGAAATAATCAAACTGCCCCTGAAACTTAAAATAATAAAACAAGGGCAATTGGTCATTTTATATAAAAAAGTAATTTAATATATGAAATAAGAGATTATACTGAAATTCTAGAATTTTACGGTTCTTGACTAATATAAATATGCTACAATGAACTTTGAATGCTATTTTTTCAATAATATTTTTTACATTTTTTTGGCAAAAAAAAAATTGATTTGTTCATCCAAATAAAAAATTCTGGCATAAATAATAACAGTTTTTTTTAACCGGTATATATCAGGAGGGTTTAAACTCTTAAAATCTACCCTCGTTACTTATCGCCAAGTTAGCATCAAGTAACTTAAAAACTGTTTTTCTCATAGCAACAAAAAATCATCCATACTTTTTATATTCTTATCCTCATATGTTTTTAATTAAATATAATGAGTATACAGACGGTTAATATCTGTTCCATAATTTCAATTAAGTCAACGAATTTATTTTAGGGAAAATACAACAATATGTTTGACCGTGTTCTGTTTTAAATCTATATGATTTTATTTTATTTTTCTCAATTCTTTTATTTTATATTTTTAAAAATTATTGGATTAACGTTGCAAACGGATCAAATTAAATGGAATAAAAATAATGAAATAAATTTATGAAAACTAAACAAAATGCAATAAAAGTAGAGGGATTTATTATTGTGTTTCCCCTTTATTTTATTATAAAAAATTTACATATCTATTATATTTCGATTAAAAAGCTTGATAGTAAGCTACAGTAGTAATTAGAGAAAATCACACACAATGGCCACTAAAAAATGTTATTAACAGACAAGACTTAATTATTATTAAAATGATAATATGAACTTGTTTTTTTTTTTTTGAAATGATGATTTATTATTGATTTTTATTTATGAATAATATATTTCAACTGTCTTTATATGCGATTTTTTATAATTACAATATAAAATTACAAAATTAAATAGAAGGAGATTGAAATCCCAGAAAGGAACTCTTTCTGCATCTGGGTCCTTAGAAATTGGCGAACCGCTTCACAGTTCACACTCGACACAATGGAGGAGCAGGGGAGCCTGGGAGACGTTATTTAGCCCGAGAGTCTGCCAAGTGCCAACATATTATTTATTTTTGTTTGGGGGAGAAAAATATTTGTAGTTTTTAGGGGTTTTTGGGGCTCTGAACTTTGGGCTTTGCTTGAATGGTATGGATCAGAGCAAGTGATGGCCCATTAACATGCTTAATCTAAAGCGTGGGAGAGTCGACCAGAGCCGTATGATCTAGGGTTCTGTCGACTCCTTAAAATCTAAAAACAATCCCTACATTCAGAATTTTGGGGGCCGTTTTACATCAAGACGAAGGCTGAGGAGCTTCGAATCTCGACTTGAAGATGGTGCAGCGCCTCACTTACAGGAAGCGTCACAGCTACGCCACCAAATCCAACCAGCACAGGGTTGTGAAAACCCCTGGTATGTTCCCCCCCTCCAATTTTCATTCTCTCCCGATTTGTCTCTGATGTTTTCGTTCCCATCTTGTAATTATGTGGCTTGACGTTGTTTTTTTTTTTTGTCTTTTAATTGTGGATTTATGTTCTGATTCTTAACGCTTTAAGGCTTCAAAATCTGTAAATGATTTCAGGTGGGAAGTTGATTTATCAGAGCACCAAGAAGAGAGCAAGCGGTCCTAAGTGTCCTGTTACCGGAAAGAGGATCCAAGGGGTATGCATGCCTTCTGAATTATGTTGAACATTTTATAACCCTATATGTACTCCATGCTTCTGCCCTGCTTTGAAGTATAAAGCCAAGGACCGCATTATGTAGAATCGGCAGAATCAATTTTTCTAATAACTTTTCTCTCGGCTGATTGCTGGATGCTTGGTATTTTTCTCAACTTAGATGAAGCAATATGTAGTAAGAAGGGATGATATTGATTGTTTTGGTGATAAAAAGGATTATACATGTGAAAATACTAAGTGAAATTTAATCCGGGTTTGATTGTTGGTCTAGTGAAATTTCTTTTCTTGCTTGCTTGGTTATATACATATTCTCTATACCTTTTATATATTTATTTCCTTAATAATTTTATAACCCATGGGTAGTCATTTTGAGACATGGGCTTATCTAGTACTTACTTTATTGGTTATTCAACAGTCAGCACTTGTGCATCCTAGGTTCCTAACAGAAGGAGGGTAGGTTGAGGGAGGAGAAAGGGGGGAAGGTTTGGCAGCTGTTATTTTTGATATGATATCATATTGGAATAAATGCGGGTATTCCTGTGGAGAAGATCGGAGTATACGTCAAATATATTTTCCTTTTCGACTTTCCCGGTAATCATAACAGTGACTAATTTAACCCAAGTAGTGGTATTACTACAATGTAAAGGTGCGAAACATGAATGCAAATTTTTTCTTTATCTACCCTTTGCATTGTCTCTGATATTGAAGGTGGGAAGCTTTTGAAGTTTTTTCTTTGTGCCAGTGTCAAGTAAAAATGGATATTACTGTGCCGTTTTCCTACCATAACTTTTATTAATTTGATTTGCAGATTCCACATTTGAGACCTGCTGAATACAAGAGGTCCAGATTGCCTCGAAACCGTCGCACAGTTAACAGGGCATATGGAGGTGTGTTGTCTGGAGGAGCTGTAAGAGAGAGGTATATGCTTAAGAAATCATTATTTGTGTATTTCCTTTTTCCCCTTTCTTATTTTGGAGAGTATCTGAGGTTTTTTAATTATCCCTGTATAGGATAATCCGAGCTTTTCTGGTTGAGGAGCAAAAGATTGTGAAGAAGGTATTGAAGATCCAAAAGGCAAAAGAAAAGCAAGCATCAAGGAGCTAAGCTGAGCGGGACATGGATCAAATGTGCCAAAGAAATTTTGACTTTGGATGGAATTATGAATGACGAACTTGATTTGAATTTTATTTTAATGATACTTGTGTTTTATAGTTTATGTTGACATACACTACCATGTTTGCTGATTTGATGCATTCTTGATGATAATTTTATATGTGACCACTACCCATTGAATTATCAGCAGGTTAAATTTATTGATTGGTGAAAGCTTTTTCATGACGTATTTGCTTGGTTTCATCAATTCAAACATAGATGAATTTCAGATCATTTGCATGTGGTAAATTATGTTAGGAAAGGCTTTCTTATTTTTATGTTATTCTTCAGTAGTCCTTTCGAATGTTGGCAAATTCCACCTCGCTAAAGGCTCTATCTATTCGTTTTTTAATGAATAGGTTGGAAGGGAGTATGTCACACGGTCCTTCTCAAACGGCCACATGTTGAGTTTTCAACTTTTCATGAATGCTTGAGAATTTTTAACTGTCGATTTCGATTAGCACGTTAGCTTTCGTCAGTTTCTCTAGAAATTCAGTCGTCTTAGGTATGTTTGCATAAAATCCAAGCTGTGGTTTAATGCAAGCATAAAGTTATTGATTGTACATCTAAACCTGTTTTTAGATGGTATCATCTTAACAAGTTTCATTTTTTTTCTCCTTTGAAAAATGTTTCTAAACAAAAATAATGTTAGTGTAACTGACTTTTAAGTTTCAACCTAATTTTATTTTGTAAATTTTAGTTTATGAAAACTTTAGTTTTTTATACAAATATTGATCCAAGCACACATCAAGTGTGAGTCACTCGAAGGAAAAAATTTAATTCTATTTATAGGATATTTGTTCATTTTTAGTGTTTCTTTTTATATTTTTATTTTTATTAAATGTTTTAAATATAAATATTGATAATAAGATTTAAAAATATTTATTAGGGATAGAAGTAAAAATTTATTAAATTTTAAGATAAAATTAATAAAATTTAAAATTTTTATTAATTTTAATAAAAAATGTTAAAAATAATTTATAAATAAAATTAAAAGGAGAAGAACAAGCAGTAGTAGTGAATGTTTTATTGTATCAAAATGTTGGGATAATTTTCCGAAGGAAAAAAAGGGAGAACAAGATGCTCTCTGCTTTTAGCCTTTAATAACTGGAGTCTGGAGGTGAAAGCCTCGATGCCGTGCGTCTTATTTGAGAGTTCGAGAATAGAAACTCGGATTATTTTAAAATAACATTTCATTTACTATGCTGTTTAGACAAATTTCGAGGATGATCATGCCAATAATCTTATTTTTTTAAAACAAAAAGCTAAATTTTTAAAAATACTTTTATCTAATAAAGAATATTAAAAAAATATAACTGGAATGATAATATTAAAAAAATATTAATATGAAAATCTTACTTTTTTAAAAGTATCTTACATTTTAAAATACTAAATTTCTTTTAAAAATGTTTTATAATTTAAGAGAAAAGTAGGACGTTGGTCATGGAATTTTCTGGTGAAATTATAACAATTTTAAAATCAATTCAATCATACGATATGGCAATTCAGAGTTCAAAGAAGCCAGCCACGAACCTTGGCTGGATCTAAATAATCTCTTCTCCGATGGAAAAGGGATCACGTGGAATTCTAATTTGGGTTTTCTTGAAAGGAGTAATCGAAAAAGGAATCAAATGTCAAGAATGGGATTCGAACCCATGCCCTTTCGGACCAGTACCTGAAACTGGCGCCTTAGACCAACTCGGCCATCTTGACTTGTTGGTTGGATTTATCAGATTCTTTATTACTACTATGTATTTAGGGCCTGAAATACTTCAATTACCTCCATAGTTCTAAATTGTAATTTCAACCTCTGCACACTGATGTTGAATTTGTGGAAAAAAACGTGCAAAAAATTTATAGAAATATTTTGTTTTGAACAAGATTTTTTGTGTGGGATCTGAATTTCAGATTCAATAACAATACAAAAGGAAAAATAAATGTGACGACGGCGACAATAATAATAAGCCTAAGAGAGGTATGAGACATAATGTAAGATGTTCTGTCATATGAAATTATAGAGAGCAACCACGGTTTTAATGGTTTGTGACTTTGAAACCACATTTCTATATATCATAAGATTGATGGTAAATGAGAAGGAAAAGTAGGAGAAACGTAAAAAACTAAACCAATATCAAAACAGAGCTTAAACGTACACGAAGAGGCGTAAAATATATACTGATAAACAAATCTAACCTCTCCTATTTATGTTGAACTTTACACCACAGGTGCTCAACAATATAACTTCTAACGAACTGTTCATGAATTATATCACACCAATTGATTTGAACATATCCAATTAAAAATGCATAACTGTGAAGCACTCACCATCCTATCGATGTACATGCGAACTACTTCCTCTGTGCTTGCTTGGCCGGGTCCAGCGTTTAGGAACATGATATTTATGTAACAGGAGAGAGAAGACAATTGCACCTAACCTGTACACTTCAATTGTAAACTGAGCAGCATTAATCCCCTGATTTTACCAGAAATAATAAGCCCAAATCTTTCGTGTAGCAATTATCAGTGCCCATGTCAGTCGAACAAGGGGAAGTCCCATAGCAGAGGAGACTTCCAAGCATCACTAGAAGCAGACACGGTCATGGGAAACCCTGTTTCTCTGTTCATATTCACTCGCATATCCTGAGGTACGCTCATTGATAAGCCACTAAACTGCTGGTGAGCCCCTTCAAGTCCTTCGCTGTCCGGGTTCAAAAGCATGCAGCCTGATGCTGCCGGCTCGGAGAACTTGAAGCTGTCACCGAGGTCACCGTTCAAAACACCGAGTCGGGCGTCATAGGGAACATCTGAAGCTGAGAAATTCCCCCCGGAGACAGTTTCTCTCGTGCAAGACAGATTTTCTGGACTGAAGTGATTGCAGGAGGCTGCGGCACCACCACCCTGAGGCATGCTTTCAGGGAACGGAGTGGTCCAGGGGTACGAATGAGATGAAGGCTTGTGTGAGTTGGTTTTCGTGAATATCCTACAAATTGCCCACGACTCCTGAAACCCCATAAGTTTGAAAACAATGAGGAAAGAGACATGCATGATAAAAATGAACAACATATGCATTCAGCAGAGAGAAGCATACAGTTGGAGAGAGGGTTTTGGGAACAGTAGCTTGAGAAAGAGAAGGAAGGCGAAACTCGTGCATCATCCACTCAGTTTTGATGCCTCTGGCGGCTCTGCCTCTGTAGAACACGAGGGACTTCTTTAAACCGATGCACTTTCCCTTGGAGGAGTATATAGGGCGGTCAGTTCCTGTGGCCTTCCAGAACCCGGCCCTGGTCACCCGATTTGGCCGGACGCTGTTTCTGTATTTTCGGTCCCTTTGACAGTAGAAGTACAACTCTTTCTCCCCGGTACTGCTTGCCATCTCTTTTGCCACCGAAAGTAAACCAGTTGAGATCATGACATGAATGAAAAGAGAAAACTTGGGAAGTAGGGTAAGTCATTTCTTACTTGGAAGATCCCATGGGTCGTACTTGTAAATGTCCACTTGCTTAATGATCTCAACAGCCAGGGTCTTCTGCTGTATTTTTTTCTTGAGGTAAAAGTCAACAAGCTCCTCATCCGTCGGATGGAACCGAAAACCAGGCAGCAGAACATCATCAAAACTATCAATTTCGTGAATCTTCTCCTCCATGTCCGCTTTCTCTCTTTTGTTGTCTCTGTAAAAGAAACGAAGCCTGGTCACTGGTGAGTAACTGATATGATACGATATATATATATATGGAAAGAGAAATTTCAGAAAACCAAGACAAGACGCGCTGATGGCACAGTACAACATAGTAAAAGATACGTAGCAGTTTACAATGTCTGGAAATTTACTTGGACGAAAGCCAGAGGATGCTTTCCTCGCTTGGGCCACCTATTGAGGATTACTTTAATGGTGACGATTGTAGAGAGAAGCTTAGAATAAGGAAATGAAGAAGGTCAAGTCAAGTAAGTAAAGCCGTTCACTGAAGGTCTAGCTCTCGCTAACCCACGTTCACGTACAAGCCCTTCACAGAATCGGTGAGGTCCACGGGTTTTTATAGACATATGATTATTCCATGTTCAGACTTGTTCACGAACCCCTCCTGTAATCTTCAACAAATCAAAGAGATAACAACAAAATGACAAGGCAAGCTTCTAACGTAGTAATTGATCTTAATTATTAAATTAATAACATATTCTATCTTGAATTTTGCTTTGTTTACAACAGGATGGGCCCAGCAACTTATATAATAATGTCGAAGTAGTATTCAACTTGTTTGATTCTCTGCCCCATTTCCTTAGCGAGCTGATCTCGTTTGAGAAAGTTAAAAAAGAAAGCAAAAGAAACGGAAAAAAGAAAAATATTTTTCCGCTGGAACTTGTGGGTACAAATTAAAAATGCCTTCTCCTGGTGGATTCGTTCTTCTATTCCTCTTATCCAGTGCCGAATCAAAAGCAAGTCGCCCTTTATCAGAAATAGGCATTAGAAAATGAGAAAATTTCAGTCTGACCTTGACCAAATATAATTTAAAAAAAAAGTATGAAATTTCAATACAAATCACAAGCAGTGAAATGAAATTAAAATATAAATTAAATTTTTCTCATTATTCTATGAAAAATTAACTATGCATACAAATAATTCTAGTAGAAAAAATTAACCATTTCAATATGAGAAACATGCAAATGCATTTTAGCAAGTTAAAGCCACTAGAGATAATAAGGTAATTTTAATTCGCATTTTAATTTTATTTCGCATTTTAATTTTATTTCACTACCTTGTAGTGAAATTTTAGACTTCAAATAACTCTTTTTTTATTTTTATTATTATATTTGGTCAAAGGGTCTAAACTGATTGTTTTTAATTTCACCAATAGTATAATACAATTATGTTTTTTTTTAATTTTTAGTTATCAGGAATTTGTTGTTGATATATTATTTTTAAGAAAAAATAATTATTTTAATCTTTATAGTTTTTACTCTATTGTAATTCATTACTTAAACGTCAATTCATTGTAACTCAAATTTTATAATTTTAATTTAATTATAATAGTTTTACCGCTATGAAATTATGGTTTGTATTGTAGTGTAGATATGAGATTATGGTTTTTTAATTTGTCTTCGTTAATTTTTAGTTGATACCCACAACTGTGATTACTATTGTCCTGGGCTAATACTCGAGTCTAGCTTCTGGTATGTTGGTGGACAAAGCTTGAGTTTTGGGTTCTACGTTGGTCCAGCTTCTTTGAAGGATTTTCGAAGGGTTAAAAAAAGAGGAGAGGGTGAGGTGTATGCCGCATAGCATGCCACCTAAGTAGTGTCCAGTCAACAAATGGTCAAATACTTGGATCCCCCAATCCAAGGCAAAATTGTACCGATTTAAAAAATATTGAGGTAACATTACACTAAAAAATATTTTAAGATGTCAATTACGCTTACGGCATAATTTTGGACATATTTGTACATTAATCATTTTAAAATTTCCATGAGGCTAATTTTGTCAGCATATAGTGTATTCACAGCACCTCCTCCAAGAATCCTCCGATCCCCTTCTTGAAACTTTTGGCACCAACATTTCTCGAGTTCATGGGCCCAAAAAGCAATTTTTTGCGCCAAGCAAAGGGGGAAGGTCTATCTCCTTTATCTAGAAAACCAATAAATAGCATATGACAAAATATTTATACAAAAATGTCTATGATTTGTCTAAAATATTTCATTTGAATCCCTTACTACATTAGAAACTATTTATCATTCATATAGTGGAACTACTACGGACAATTTTAAAAAATAATAAAGAAGGGTGTTTGCGGTGTTTTTTGGTGCAATAATATGTTAGAGAAATGTATCTTCAAACAACATGATATACCTGAATTTTAAATCAAATGTTGAGTTCTTGATGTCTTTTAACATAATTTTTTTAAATGTAAGCGCTTAAAAGTAAAGTAAAGATAGAGGAAAATGAAAAAATTGTATGGTGAGAACAAATATGATATTTGTACTTATACAAAAGAAATTAGAGAAAATAAAATATGGAAAACCACCAAAAAAAAATTGGAGCAGTGATGCTACTATTTTACTGGGTGATCGCTTTACCATGCGAAAGGAACTTGCTACTCTCTCATGGAAGTGTGCTTATCCAGAGAATCTGCATCCAATTTGCTAGACGAGGCAATGTTTGGTTTGATCAAATGAATAGTTAAATTGATTGGAGTATTGTTGAAGAGTCATTGGTGTGACCTCTTTTTATAAGTAAAAAGTAACAGTTTTCTCATGATTTTATATTTTAATTTTTAAGACTATTAATAGTATTTATTCCAAAATTTCCTTCACTTTCACCATTCCGAAAGTGATGTGTTGGCGTTAACCATCTTTCTTCTAAAATTATAGATTACGCTTGGATTAAAAATTATATGTTAACCCAAATTATTTAACTTTTTCTCTTACATAAGCTCGATGTGGATTGGGGTCAAAAATACATCTTCACCCAAAAAAAAAAAAGACAAATGAGATTAGAGATTAATATTTAAAAATAAAACAAACTCTTCAACTAGTTTTTAAATTTATAATTTTGCCCTTGTCAGATCACAAACGGAAGTTTTCCTCGCACTAGCATCTTTGCCTCTATATTTTACTGCTACCCTTCAACGCACCGCATTGCAATTTGCATTCACTTGCATTGACGCCTACCATTTTCTTCCCTTTCAGAACACGAGTTACCGCTTCGACCTGTTTAATTTTTTTTTTAAAAAACCCTATTTCAAAAACAAAGCCAAACATTTCATTTGATCAAACCAAGCACCCATTTCTTCTCTTGCAAAGCCCTCCGCCAAATTTAAAGACCATTATCATAGCTAATTACCTATATTAAAATAAAAAATAAAAAATATTAAACACAATCAATTAAAGTGCTGTGAAAATAGATATTGAGAGAAGGAAAAAAGAGAGAAAATTATAATGAAAGAGTAAGAGAATGATAAAATTGAGAATTTTCTCATTTTAATGTATAGAATACAACTAAGGTGCCTTCTATCTATAAGCACAAAATATATCAATTAAATTAAATAAAATATACAAAATAATAGGAATTGAAAAATATCATAGTGATCAAAAGATGTTGAAGAATATGAGAAAATGGACAATCACATAATATTCTAATATTCATAACACTTTTCCTTAAATATCCAAATATTGTGCATTATTAAAACCTTATTAAAAAAAATTTAATGGGATAGAAACCAAGTAAAGGAAAAATAGTACACAACATCTTTGTATTTATTTAAGCTACCTCATTAAAAATCTTTCAAAAAAAAGTCAGTGAGACAAAATCTTGGTTAAGGAAAAAAGAGTACCACATAAATTTTATTTCTCCTAATGACGATATTGCTAACTATTCTTGAGTCTTCTTGAATCGTTGTGTCATGAACTTATATATCAACTCTTGAATATTGTTGTTGCTTATGCTTGCTCTTCCAACACGACTATACATGAACCATTGCTTACATATAATATTTTGAAACATCTTCTCTGTATATCTCTTCTGGATATGAAAACATTTTTCACTTGTCATATATTTTGCAGGAGTAAAAGTTACTAATAAACAATCATGATAATTTGTATGGTTCAAACTAGATATATATAACACATGCATCATCAATTAATTTTGATCCTAAATAAGTTTAGTAAAGCAACCATACATAAAAATACTTCAAGCATATAATGTCAAGTACATAACTTTGTTGCAAAACAATGCAATATTATAAATTATGATATGAAAGCATTCATATATGGTACTTTGAGATCATATTTCATTAGTCTATTGAAGAAAAATGACATTGATTCACATCTAATCACCCAATATTTTAACATCCTTTATAAATCAAGTGCTTTTATAAATTCTTTAGAATATTCAATAATGCTCAATCAACTAATTTTTTTTATGCAAATCAATATGTATATAATCACATGAACAAATAAAATGACAAGGAATTTTTTTTTTTTTGAGAATCTTTATAAGTTTTTGCCATCTTGAATCCTTCTGAGATTTTCAAGTAGATATCATTGTACAGAGAGTCATATGAATAAGCCAACATTTATTAGATGCCTATAAAATTTCTATACTGTTAGGCAAATAATATGTTGAAAAATTATTTTATCCACCACAAAATATTACACTAGTCCATATTTTGAATCTTTATAAGATATTCTTATATTAAAAGTCTAACTTTGCATGTGACATTTCATATTTCTCTTTTATATAGGTACTCATATATAATATCATATTTCAAATGCTTGAAATATGAGTTCATAACTTTCATATCCTAAACAAATGAATATAATGTTATTTATATTGCATTATTTTTTATAATTTGATCAACATTTTATTAAGATCCCCATTTAATAGTGATTTTTTATTCTCATTAACAATGTTATTGGTAAATTTATTTTTTAAGGAAACATTTTAAAGAACGAGTGAATGAAAAATGAAAAAGAAAAAAATTGTACATGACATATTGTTATACTGATTTTTTTCCGCCTTTCCATCATTCGTGGTTTGAAATGTAAAATTAAAAAACTTGAAAATATTATGAATAAAAAAGAATTATTATAAATAAGTTAAAATATACTTTTAATCTTTTAATTTTATATAAGGTTTCAATTTAATTATTTAAT